AGATTCAAGTCTTCCTTTAACAGTTGTGATGATGTCATCTAGAAGCGCTGGTTCTGGGAGCATCACGTGATCACCTGTTTCCGCCATGTTGAAAACATGGTGGAAACGAAGCCGAAAAAAATGGATGCCATCGACTGCTCGTAGGGGATTTTGGAGTCTAACGCTGTATGTTTGTTTGTAGAAGTTTTCTTGGATCAACAGTAATATCTGACTCCTACCATTTTTGTAGACTTTTTATAGTATTATTCAAGTGTTGATACTCTGAGAGTAGAAATTTGTCGCCATTGACAATCAAAATGGAAAGTCAATGAAAATTACTTGTCCAAAGCTTATTGAATGGTCACTTTTCTACTTCCTGTACACTGTACAGTACTGTAGTGATAGAGCAGACATCAGTAATAGTAAGAGCTGGATCGTAAAGGCACATTACCTACTGCTTTGCTACAATCTTGACTTCAAGACTATAAAAACTGTAAGAGTCGGATATTACTGTTGATCCGTTTTCTTTTACCTCCATGTCGATTTCAACTTTGACGGTGAATGATCGTCGTTCACACGGATAGTGATTCCTAAGTTGAGTTACAGTCGTGATGACAATGAAAAACTGCTAAGAATGGAGTTGGAGGAATTGGAAGAGAAAATGCTTCAGTAGGAAAGGCTTATGCCTTATTCAACTGCTCAATTAGGCATGGGATTCCAAAGCTGTACACTCAAGATTTGATTGACAACATTGCAGGCAATAGTAGTGATTCATAAGTTGAGTTAGCGTATTGATGACGATGCAAGACAGCTGATGTTGTTGTAGGAATTGAAAAAGAAAATGCTGAAGTAGAAATACTTGTGCCTTATAGATTGCTTAAGGGTTAAGCATGGAGTTGCAAGACCGCACTGTATGTGTAAGTCTGCTCAGATGCAAGACAGCTAAGGTAGTCGTAGGGATTGAAAGAGAAAAAGATTTATGCCTTAGGCTGCTCAATTCAGCATGCAGTTGCAAAGGCCGCACTGTATGCATAGTGGAAGTCTGTTCAGATGCAAGACAGCTAAGCTAGTCGTAGGGATTGAAAGAGAAAATGCTAAAGTGGAAAAAGGCTTGCGCCCTAGACTGCTCAATTGAGCATGGAGTTGCAAGACCGCACTGTACAGTATGTGTAATAAGTCTGCTCAGATGCAAGACAGCTAAGGTAGTCGTAACGATTGAAAGAGAAAATGCTAAACTGGAAAAAGGCTTGGACCCTAGACTGCTCAATTATTAAGCATGGAGTTGCAAGACCGCACTGTATGTGTAAGTCTGCTCAGATGCAAGACAGCTAAGGTAGTCGTAACGATTGAAAGAGAAAATGCTAAAGTGGAAATAAGGCTTGTGCCTTTGACTGCTCAGATCAACATACAATTCCAAGGCCGCACCGTATAATTGCCCGTAGCATATACAGTACATGTGTATTAGCCCTAACCTTTTTGCATAAACTGCTTTGTACTCTTCGTTTAAGCTGTCCTACTGATATATTAGACATGTATATTGATATATCTAAAAATAAAAATCAAGAAATCTCATGCGGCACAAATCAAATTTGTGTCCTTTCCTTATCCCCGTGCGAGAAATTAGTTGTGGGGGCATTTCCAGTACTTTCTCATACTATAGGTAAACGGAGCCCCCAAATAATTTCCCGCACGGGGATGATGCAGGACACAAATTTGATTTGAGCCGCGTGAGATAGGACGATTTCTTGATTTTTATTTTTAGATATGTCAATACATGTCTAATATATCAGTAGGACAGCATAAACGAAGTGTACAAAGTAATTGATGCAAAATGGCCAGGGCTAATGTGCATGACGATGCAAGACAGCTAATCAGTAGTCGTAGGGATTGAAAGAGAAAATGTTCAAGCCGAAAAGGCTTGTGCATCATGCTGCTTAATTCAGCATGCAATTTCAAGGCCGCACTATATACAGCACATACTGTAAGTCTGCTCTAGTGCTCACAGTTCCTGTACTGTAATAATGATTCATAAGTTGAGTATTTTACAGTGTGCATGACGATGCAAGACAGCTAATGTAGTCGTAGGGATTGAAAGAGAAACTAGTGAAGTTGAAAAATGGCTTGTGCCGAAGACCGCCCAATTCAGCGTGCAACTCCAAGGCTGCATGGCAAAGTGGAACAACGCCAGTTATTCAATACGGATTGTATTTAGTGAAATCTTGAAAACTTTTTTCTAAATCCATTCGACGCATTAAATGTGTAAAGTAATGTTGTTTGAGCTTCATTAATTGAGCAGTCTAGGGCGCAAGCCTTTTTCCACTTTAGCATTTTCTCTTTCAATCCCTACGACTACCTTAGCTGTCTTGCATCTGAGCAGACTTCCACTATGCATACAGTGCGGCCTTTGCAACTGCATGCTGAATTGAGCAGCCTAAGGCATAAATCTTTTTCTCTTTCAATCCCTACGACTACCTTAGCTGTCTTGCATCTGAGCAGACTTACACATACAGTGCGGTCTTGCAACTCCATGCTTAACCCTTAAGCAATCTATAAGGCACAAGTATTTCTACTTCAGCATTTTCTTTTTCAATTCCTACAACAACATCAGCTGTCTTGCATCGTCATCAATACGCTAACTCAACTTATGAATCACTACTATTGCCTGCAATGTTGTCAATCAAATCTTGAGTGTACAGCTTTGGAATCCCATGCCTAATTGAGCAGTTGAATAAGGCATAAGCCTTTCCTACTGAAGCATTTTCTCTTCCAATTCCTCCAACTCCATTCTTAGCAGTTTTTCATTGTCATCACGACTGTAACTCAACTAGTAGGAATCACTATCCGTGTGAACGACGATCATTCACCGTCAAAGTTAAAATCGACATGGAGGTAAAAGAAAACGGATCAACAGTAATATCCGACTCTTACAGTTTTTATAGTCTTGAAGTCAAGATTGTAGCAAAGCAGTAGGTAATGTGCCTTTACGATCCAGCTCTTACTATTACTGATGTCTGCTCTATCACTACAGTACTGTACAGTGTACAGGAAGTAGAAAAGTGACCATTCAATGAGCTTTGGACAAGTAATTTTCATTAACTTTCCATTTTGATTGTCAATGGCGACAAATTTCTACTCTCATAGTATCAACACTTGAATAATACTATAAAAAGTCTACAAAAATGGTAGGAGTCAGATATTACTGTTGATCCAAGAAAACTTCTACAAATGAACATACAGCGTTAGACTCCAAAATCCCCTACGAGCAGTCGATGGCATCCATTTTTTTCGGCTTCGTCAATGATGGTACTGAAACATTGCTTAGGAAAGGAGTCAAATAGCTTGTAGGCAGTCTTGCATTAAACCATCAACCAGTGGAATATTCTTCTCCATTTTTTTTTTTATTTATCTTGTCCGCTATCCACCCATTATAGGTTACAGTATTCGATTCCAACTACTGTTCCAGTACTATCTCTCTCTCTCTCGACTAGGACAAACCGGCGATTGCTATTTGATTTTTGGACAGCTAAAAAGGCCCGCGGTAGACGATCCATTTCCATCCAGTTGCTGTTGATTTGGTGCAACATTTTCTTCTTCTTCTTCTCTTACTATTCTTCTTGTTTTATCCATTAGCCATTGGTAAAATAGACAGAAAGAATGACCATCCTATTTAGCTTGGTTGCTCGAGGTTCGACTGTATTGGCTCATTATGCAAGTTGTAGTGGTAACTTTACCCAAGTCAGCGATCAAATATTAGCCAAGTTGCCATCCAACGATAGTAAATTGACCTATTCCCATGATGAGTAAGTATTGCAAGTGGATAAAGAATGAATTCATTTTATTGATGGTCCTATCAATCTACAGTAGACCAGCAAGAATTGTAGGATAAAATAATGACTTGCCAATCTTTCTATCGTGGAGGAAGAACAAAATAAAGTGCTTCATGTTCCATGATGGATCGAAAGTAGATTGCATGGTGGTTAAGCAGTCATGATGGGATCATGATGATGATAAAAATCAATAATCATGCTGGATGTAAATTGTTTCAAATTGTCAGTCAACAAGATCTCCATAACGACTGCCAACATGGGTTTGCAATCAATTGACTATGCTATCATTTCAATCTTGTGACAGTAGGATATAAAATGAATTAGAGTGTGCTTGAAAAAGATCCTTATCGTACTTTGTGGACGGCCATTTTGCCTAATATAGCCAAGACTTGATTGAGAATGAACTGGATAGCCGTAGACACCATTCATCGACAGTACGGTAGAGCAGAAATAAATTCCACAACAGTCGCTCTTTCATGACTTTATTCATTCTTAGTCATCACCAGAGTTCAAATTTTAGCTTGATACCCTAACTTTACGCACATAAATTACATAACCGTCAATTGGCTGTGTTATATCCTATCAACGACATTGAACATTTCTCTAGTCATGGAGTGCAGACTAGTCAGAATGGATTAATTTAGCCGTCACGTAGTCTGATAGCACAGACTTGACTTTTGATTGAGAGCCAAATTCTTACCTTGCCCTGCCATAAATGCATCAGTGAGAATTGAAGCATAATTTAAGAATCATCTCGATCCATCCAATATTTCTAGTAATCGTCTTCTAATCATGTTACTATAGTATCATTTCAACTTTCTAAAAGTCGGTGTACAATACGTCTTCACATTCTCGCGCAGCGGAGGCTAAATTTTCAACTTGTCATGAGTTTACGAGTTAGAGTTGAAGAATCATCTCGATTCAAAAATTTTTTTGAATAGTCTTAAAATTAATCAATGTTACTATAGTATCATTTCAACCTATCAGCCTGAGTACAAAAAGCTCTTGATGCTTTTATCCAGTCATTCTTATCTTAATGAATTATACACGTATTATATTTTGCACCCTTTAGGCCTGAAACCAAGACTCGACTTTCCATCTAACTAACTGCAGATTATTACATAATATTCATTCTTTCCGTCGTTTTATCATTCATCAGCAAGAGTGAAAATATTATCTCCATCCAACAACTCCATTGAGCTAGAAAATTGCGCTGTTAGCCAATTGTTGATCTAGTTTATTTCTTTAGCATTAATTCGTATATTGTACCATGCGAGATTGAGACTAGAGTGACCGACTACTTTAGACGCTCATGACGTACGATTGCCCCAACATAAATCAAAAATTTCTCCAATCAGCAGCTTTATGCTATGGCTGTCTTTAAAATGAACCGTATCACATTTCAGCGGTTCTCAATATTGACTGTAACGATGGCAATCATTAACCAATCAAGGCAATTAAAAGGACTATTTTCGTTTACAGTTATCATCGATACGCTAGTCGTACAATTATTCAATTTGGACGTAGAGAGGACTTATCAGAAACGATCAACTTTTTACGTATCTCATGATTCATTAGTCCACCGTTACAGATTGATGAGAGGTGTTCGGTGGAGGTGTTTGCTATACGCAAAGGTAGCTAGGACACATTTACTAGACGGACTTGAAAGAATGACAGTCTTCATCCCGTATAACCGACGAGATAAATATTTCATCTCCATATTAGGAATAGTTTATGATGATAGATATTGTCCCAATTTGTTGTTATTCTCTTGTTTGTGAAAAATAATCGTAACGTTCTGGAAATAGTATCTTATGCAATTTTCTTGGTAACAAAAACTAAAGTCTGTTAATTATTTAGGAAGTTGAAATCCACCACAAAAATTTCAATCAGTAGTAATTAATCTTGTTTTATATGTACAGTATTATGCAAGTATGCATAATATAATTTGCTATTTTTCTTTACAACTATCAATTCACTGCCATCATCCCCCTTAATAAACTTCTCAATTTATAATTTGCTGTACAATGGAGTGCATGCTGTCTAAACTATGCCAAAATAAGTAGTAGCTTTTTTGAATAGATGCGGTACTTTTAATCATTTCGCCATAAATTTGTATCGGTAGTTTTTTTAATATTCCTTTAATCATACAGCACTTGCCCATTTTCGATACCGAAAATACTGCGGTATAGGATGATAGACATAAACGTTTAAAAATAAATTTATTCTTTTTATAGTTACCTATTCCATTACATCCAGGAAAATAGCATCGTTTACTTATGCATCACCGATAAGGTAAGTTGCATTCTCCACCTATTGCTTACCGTTCTCTGGATTGAAATCGATAACCTCCTATTCGTACTTTATTTCTATATAGGATTTTGAACGATCAATTGCCTTCCAATTCTTAACGGATATCAAAAGAAGGTCTATACCAACAAATAGTATACAATTTATGTAGATTTGACATGCAACATGGTTTAATTGTAAGCGATAACGTGTATTGGGCAATGTTGATACATGTAATTTTATAATCTTACTGAATTATAGTCAATAGCTCGTTGCTAAGATTGATTTTGATTACGGAGATTTACAACAATCAAAGTGTATACTCTCTATTACGCCTTGGATAGTTGTAACGTCCACAAAAGTAACAGTATATTATGCAAGCAAAGTTGCTTTTTAAGTTTAATAGCCCACACGTTGTCTCCATCGATATGATTTGCTTATGCTGCTAATGCAAGATAAGATAGTCTGCCAAAATTTAAATTACGGGCATACTAGCAAAACGACTTGCTCACCAAAGTATCTCTAGTGATCAAAAGTTCAAATTAAATTAGTACTGTAAATGAATGAAAATATCTTGATATATTAACCGTTTATACACAAACGACGAAATCAACTATCTCTTCTAGCTACATGTCGCGTTTTAGCAAAGTCATAGAGAAAAAGTGTGTTGCTTGTACGTTGACATAGTCATCCTTTTCTATCGCTACAGGTTTTTAGGTCTTTATCGTACTGTCGCTCAAACTGCTGTCCCATATTCACTTAATAGTGAATTTTCTATTATTTTGTCATCGGAAATGGTAAGTGATAGTATGGCGTCATATTTCAATTGTTATTCACTTGCCACTAATTTTAATATTGCATCACTAATTTTCTTCTTTAATAGAGTCGACATTCCGAAGGATTGAGTGACAACAATAAGATTAATAAGGTCTCGGAAGATCTAGACGAGCTTAAAGGAATAATGGTCAGAAACATTGGTAATAATGACATAACTTGGGGTTTATCAATGCGACACCACGTATTACACTTTTTAGCGGTTATCAGACGTTTTAGATAGCTCACTGTAACAAGCTTTTACCCCTTACAGTTTAATTTTACCTTAAAAGAAGTGCATTGTTAATTTCAACTGTATTCGCAGCGATTCATCTTCTAAATCTACTCTCTTTTTATAATGCGCATTGCTTGCATGTTTTTTGCAATTTGTTCTGATTACGTAATAATAAAATGCAGTTGTTTATAGAATCTGTAATACAGCCTTAGCAGTATCGTTAAAATTAAATTAATTATAGTTATAAACTATCATCAAAATTAAATGAAAAATTTCGGTTATTACAGAAAGCATAGCAACGCGTGGAGAGAAATTGGATTTATTGGTAGATAAGACTGAAGATTTAGAGCAGACGGTAATTCTATTAATATTTTCATTTTATTCAGTTATTACAATTAGTACTGTTACATTGCAACGACTAACAGCAAAACTTGCGGAATATTGTGCCTAAGAATTTTAATTGCTGGAACGCTACCTGATTACAATCGTTTACTCTTATGACAGTCTTTGACTTTTAAGAAGTCGAGCAAAAAGTTATCTCGCGCCATGTGTATGAAGAATGCCAAGTGTACAATATTTTTGGTCGTTATTGTACTGGTATGTATAATTATAACATACTCTTTTGTATGATTGCCAAATTTTGAGTGTAACATTACTTAGTATCCAATGCGAGCAGTGTCTTACTAAAGTGGTCTAGCACTATGTCTTCGATAGATTTTAATACGCGGTATTCTTGATTTTCTTGGCTAGCTGGTCATCTTTTTCATCTTTGTTGGTGCGTGCGGTGGTTTCAGTTTTCCCTGTACGAAGAAGAAACATTAAATTTCAATGTTGACTACCTACATTCAAGGGCCTGTAGTCCCAAATATCAAACATATACTATTCATGTAATATAATGTTATAGTAGCTTTACCTCGTCATTCGATAGCACAGAAATTTAACTTTACTGTTTACAAAACGCCTATTCCAGTCGCGGTATTGTCCAAAAGACTGGTAATTTGCTCATATGTATATTATCCGTATTAATGTAGTCTTATCGATTGTTAAGTACAGTATAGAGAAGAAATTACTCAAACTTGTCAAAAATGTAAGGCATCATCATAATCATTACATTGTGTACGTCTATCCTAAAAATCAGTTGTTCTACGAATGAAATTTGTAATCATACGCTTTCGTTTATTGCGTACTCAAATACGAATTTAATGTGCTTGTTGTATGCAGTAATGTGATTTAGTTTATATTCTTGGATTACTTCCAACTTCGTGAATATATTTGTAGTGGAAAACCTTATGTCGATGTCTATTCAGTGGCATACAGTACATATTATATTATACCCGTATTCCATTGTCTGAGAACGTAGGTGAAAGTACGATTATACAACAACCAACCAACTATTTTAGTAGAGCGATATGAATTATAATTGCAAATTAATTGTACAACTTCTTATTTTGTTTCAGTTATTTAAATTTTATTTTTAAATAGTTGATGTAGCCTGATATCCGCCACGTATCTGCAACGGTTTCAGCGTATAATTATTAACGAAATACAGTATACCTACGTAGGAATAACAATAATACTTAAGTCCTCGATGATTAGTTTACTGATTTGTAATAAAAATTTAATTACAAATAACACTTTTTTGAAAGTGTTTTATTTTATTGCAATAATCAATTGATTAACTGATTATTATATGTACTGTAATTCGATAAGCCAATACTATGAAATGGATTAGTAATAATTACGGTAATTTATATCTGAAAAAGTGCGTCAATTTACAATACATCACGGTAAGAATTTGCAAATAGAATTAGACAGAATCAATTGAAATTGGATGAAATTTTACACTACACCAGTCATAAAGCGATAGTTATGATGGATAATAATGTAGTTCGTTATAAATTGCAATGAACATAAAAATCATTTACATTTTTTCTAAAATTGGTATAATCATATCAAATCGTGGTCTTTTAACTGGATCAACGTTCCAACAAATTTTTATTAGCTTAGATATGTGGGTTGACATACTTGAAGGTATTCGTGGTTGCATGTGTTCTAAAGCAATCTTTAAGATTAAGAAAGACAAACGTTATACGAAGTTCAATTATTAAATTGTTGAATTCTATGAGTAGTCGCTGCGATGATCTATTTTTGAATCATGTAATTGTAGATGTCTTTGCGCTACTTATTGGTTACGTTACCTTTAATCCAATTTCCATTGGCGATAAGCCTGCATATGGAACTTTTTGAGTTGCTAATTCCCATAGAATTATAGCGAAGCTCCACATATCAGCTAATTTGGTTGCGTCATCGTCTAACTCCCCTTGTAATGCTACACAGTATTAGTCCATTCAAAATTCAACGTTAAATCAATGACACAGCTATAAACCTAAAGGTAGCAAAAATTAACCAAAAATCTTTTGGAAATTGCTGGATATACCTTCAGGTGATATCCAATGAGGATAGTAAATTTTTTCATTAACCAAAAATGAAAATTTTATATCTGATAAACTAATTTTAGCAGTAAGATCCGAGCTGATCTGGATTAAGATTCAGAGGAGAAAGAAAAACGCATAATTACAGTTTTCATTGCACGAAATACATGTAAAACAAATGCGAAACGAATCTTATCAATACCAGAATATGCCTAGGGGATAAGTTTAGCCTTGGTAAATTTGGCTTGATTCCGTGCACATACGCCATTCCCCTTGCAATATCAGTAGCAAATTTTAGGGCTTGAGCTGTGTCTACTTCTATGTCTGTAATGGTATACCCATATCATGCAATAAGTTACTATTCATTTCCGATGATTGAATCGACACGAAAAAACTACAGGACTATATCGACTAGTCTTATTGTCATAATTATTAGTAACTCAAACGGCGACAGAGTACATTTAACGATCAAAGCGGTAGAAAGAAATGCATGTAAAAGTTGATATTTGCTACTCCTGTTAGTAGTGAAATAGATGTACATAACATTGTGTAAGTGTATTAATATGAAGTATTAACCCGTTGATTGATGTAATACATTAAACAATGATCCATGTGGCATATATTCACTCAGTACGAATATAGAAGGAGCTTGCTGACAAATACCAAGAATGGGTTGGACGTTTGGATGAAAAGAGGATCTATAGCCATAAAAATTTAGTAAAGGTGTAAGTCAGCTTAGCAAAGTCCGGTAGCTCAATTAGCAATTAAATAACTTATCAGATACTTTAGCTTTGCTATTTCTTCTGGAATTTCTCGTATCATTTTATTGGATATATCTCCGACGATGTATCTTCTTGCAACTATTTCAACTTGAGACCAACTTCCTGTCCATAACTGATCAAAGTTCAGAATGTATTGGAAACATAGTTAGAAGCGATTGCTAATAATATAGGAGTAGATCTTACTAATACATCAGACAAAAACTGACTAAGGCAATTTAGAAAATTATAACAAGTCATTTTAATAACGATAAATTAAGCATAATGATATTTATTGTTTACACCAGTAATCCGGTACAACACCGGTTTACACCCTTTAAAATGCTGCATAAAAATAATTATGTATATCTTACGCATACCTCGCCTAATGGACTATCAAATAATACTTCAGATAGCAAAATTTCCGAACCAGCAACCCAAGGTTTGTGTATTTTGTTGGTTAAAGTTGATGCTAATACAAAATAATATCATAGTCTGTAAATATTTTATTACAAGATTGAGGTTGCATTAGTACTATATCATAATAATGCCACTAGTTGTAGGTATAGAGTTTTTAATTCCTTTTACCAGTGGTTCTTGAAGTTGTTCCTGTTGCTGTCTTATTCAAGGTGGTAGCTGAAACGTACACAAGCAATCATTATACAATAGTAGGTATGATCAGTTTGATTTCCTTCATTCGACTGCGGTATTTTTTACATAGACAATCTTAGTACTGTACATCAAGAAACTAAACTTAATACAAACTTCTACTAACCAACATAAGGTTTAGGAGACAGAGGTTGCTTCAAAGACTTTGCATGAGCTAAATTGAATTTATCCAATTATAAATTATTGATTGTAAGGTTATACGCGTATCCAAGATGTTAGCAGAACAATTAGAAACGAGATACATTAAACTATTGTGAACTACGAAAAGATCCAAGAAAATTGGTAAGCGATCACTTAAGTCTTACATTTCAATTCTTGTTTTAGTTCACCGTACGCAAAGTCGATTGGTGTTTTCCCATATTTGTTAGCTTGAGCAGCAACAGCGCCTTGATTTAACAATTCCTAATTTTATTTAAATTACGACATATTTCATCTGAGTCTACTATTTCATACTATTGCATAGAAATTATATGGTTTAAGGTTCCAATTTGACAATAAAAGTGATGCAGTCATGTCCAGACTTACCCGAACAACATTTCTATAGGCCCAGAAAGTTGCATAATGTAAAGGAGTATTTCCATGTTCGTTGACTGCATTAACACTAGCCCTATTTCTGATTAGCTGTCAATGTAATTGATGGCTTAGTACAGTATATTACTATCATTAAATATAAAAAATAGAGTGATAGCAAGACTAGATCAACTGTAATACCCTCACTAGTATTTATATGTAGATTTATAAGAATTATGTTTACTGAAAAGAATAATAAATGATGTTGTCTACATGATTTTCCTCTTGCCTTTTGAATAATAACCAAGTGGCCACAACTTGCAGCCAAATGTAATGGAGTATCCTCGCCCATGTTGGTACTATGGACATTGGCACCTCGAGCAATGAGTAGATCGACAACAGTTTCTCGCCCATCTTTAGCAGCCCAGTGTAAGGCAGTAAATCCATGTTCCTCACTATTATGAAGCAAACGTTCAAATCCAAGTTAGCATTTCAAGTTGGATTATATAACCAAATCTAATTCGATACATGCCTACTGATAGGAAGGTCATGTTGTGGCCGATGGCTTAGATAACATGCTGTTGTAGTATACATACACTTTTTTACTACTGCTGTACTAGAAATGATTGGATAAGAGGCATGACATTTTTGCCGTATATTGCAGCATGCAAAGTCAATAGCTTAAGATTCTAGTTTATTCGATAGCAAATCATTGTACTTTCTGTACTAGTAGAAATTCACTAGAGAATATAATGTGGATGGCGTATTTCTGAAGGTATCATTCCGTTCAGAAATCGGTGGTAGCTATTGTCATCATGTTTAAATGAGAATACGCTGGTGTGGGTGTTCTAATCTAAACTAAATTTATGATGTACCGTATAATCACAGAGATTTTCATGATGATTGGATGGAAGAATATGGGCATTAGGAACTGAAATTATGACATACCGTACAGTATAATTCTGCCTGAAAATTGATGGTAGATATCCTGACAAATGCTTCGATAGGGAATATGGGTATTGTAAACTGAAATTACGATATAGCGTATAATCCTACTTGGTAATTAATGGTCGATATTCTCTAGACGTTTGATAGGAGAGCGTAAACCGAAATAGTAATGTCTATTAGCTCAGTCTGCATGAACTTCCACAGGTATAACCTTGTGTAAAAATAAAAATTTAGCGGTAAATACAATTTGATTGTAATGATGAGAGACTAGGGGTACAAGTGGTACGTATTTCAACAATGCTTTTAGATAAATATTTGCTTCCAAATTATTATTGGAAAATACTGGCATGCTTAATTGAAATTTTATCAGCAAAAGTTGGCATGTAGTCTGGATAAAATCCTGTTTGGAAATTGCTGATGAACATTATTATTATTTGAATGTTATGGGGAGGTGGGAATGATTTTAATTGATTTCTATCAGTCCTATTAGTATGGACATTGTACAGTAAACCTGTGTTGATCCTACTTTGGAAATTGCTGTTCCTATCCGTTATGAGAATATGAGCGTTGGTTCCTGATTAGAATTTCGATATCCGTCATTAATTATTAATAACGTGTGCTTGAATAATCTTATTTGGAAATTGTTGGTTACAATTGTATTGATATTTAGCATTAATGTATGTCAAACGGCAAGCTTAGAAAGTGTTTTACGTATAGTATTGAAATGGTCAATTTTAACAGCTGAATTGATAATGAAAACTCTTACACAATCGGGGTAAACAGTCATGAGCAAGTAGGAATCGAGTGAGCGCGTACAGCATTGATATGATGATGAAATTCACAGTTTATCAATATTAAACATTATCAATTTGACAGCAATCCTCATCACTCTTGTTGAAACCTATTAAAGTGTCCCTATACTGCATGTGCTTACAGAAATACAAAATTCTCATCAATCTTATGAAGAACTATTAAAGTGTCCCTACACTACATCTGCATACAGAATAGAGTAATCATTGCAACGCTGAAACAACATATTCGGCCGGAGGAAAGTGTCGAAATTCAACCTGGAAATCAATCTTTAGGGAGATGATAACATGAAGGAAAACGGCAATCCGTCCACTCGAGTTAATTGAAGTGACATCATTATATTAGACTGGATTATTCATCCTAGCTAGAATACCTTGTCGTCGATGGGTATTTTATTACCTGTCATTGATACTGCCATCCCATTTTTCGAGAAAATCATGGATACGCTGGGTGTTTCCTTCTCGGACAGCAGTAATGAAATCATCCATGGACAAGCTCGATCTACAGTGAACCAAAGATCGTTGGTTAGCAATGAGTGGATAACTACCAGTAGAATAAAGTCTACAGCATGAATACAGTGAGAAAAAATGGTTCTAACCTAATGGATGGAGGATAATATGATTAGGATTATCACCACTTGATCAGCATCGACAGCTCCCATGGAGCAGCAACTTGCAATATAGTGGTTGTAATAATTAACAGTAGTAATCGATTCTGAAGGACGGTATACACCGTACAGACTAACACAGTACAGTAGGAGACCCGTCATATGTGTAGAATAGGTGTCACCTTATCCAAGCATTTATTGCTAATGTCCGGAAGGGAAAGGGTGACAGATTATTTTTCACATTGTCGGTACTAACGCCTGGTGATATAGAGGAGACTCAACAAGCGGCTGGATGCAGGATTATACGATTAGGATTATCATCAATTGATCAGCATCGACAGCTCCCATGGAGAAGCAATTTGCAATATAGTGGTTGTAATAATAAGTAATAGTAGTAATCGATTCTGAAGGACGGTATAAACAGACTAATACATTACAGTGCGAGACCCGTCAAGTGTGTAGAATAGCTGTCACCTTATCCAAGCATTTATTGGTAATGTTCGAAAGGGAAAGGGTGACAGATCACTTTACACATTGTCGGTACTAACGCTTGTTGATATAGAGGAGACTAAACAAGCGGCTAGATGTAGGATGGGAAAATGGCCGCTAAAGGATTCCATGGCATGCAAGACTACCGTGTGAAACGCTTTATGAACAGTCAATAAAAGTAGGTTAGCATCGAAAAAACGGTTGGCCGTTAGCTGAACAGGCTAGGTAAGAGGCTATCAAGGCTGTCTGCCATGTCAAGTGCAGTATTTTACCCCTTGCTAGAGTGGTGATGGCTAAAGCTCATGGGTGTAAACGTTGCTATAACGCCTTGTTTCCAAGGTGTAAAGACTACTCAATCCAAATTGTACCCTTGTACATAAAAGTTGTCACTCCTTCCCTAGAAAGAGAACAACTTTTATGCAATAGGGATACAATGTTGATTGAATAGTTGCTACTAGGTGCTACTTTAACAGCGTAGCTTGCTCTACAGGCTTTGGTATGCGCAATGATGTATATTGAACAAGTAGAAGTATGCTTGGATTATAATGAATGGGATAACCTTCAACGCTCATTTCTTTGAGCATTTTGACCGCTAGGTTGGAATGGCAAGAGAATAATGAGGTCTATCGATCTACATTAAAACACTCTACAGCTCCTATGTGGTAATCTAGACCACTAGAAAGGAGTTTTCAAGGTGTCCATGGGAGAAGGCTAGCAAAGAGGCTATCGACCCTATTTCAATTTCCAGCCTATACACTGTACTGTACAGTATTTTAGCCAACAAAGCTCATCGATGTAACGAATTATTTCCTAGGTGCTACTTTAGTTGCATCGTGTACTCTACAGATTCTAGTATGGACATGCAGATTGAACAAATTGCAGCATGCACTGATGATAAACTATGCAAGAACCTTTAATACTCATTGTTTCCAACATTTTGACGGCTAAGCTAGAATCGTAAGAGAATAATTAGATCTATCGGTCTGTATTGAAATACTTTTCAGCTCCTATGTAGTACTGTAGACTACTAGAAAAGAGTTTACAAGGAGTCCATGGGAGAAGGCTAGCAGAGAGGCTGATTAGGCTATCTGCCCTATTTCAATCTCCAGTCTATACTGTATAGTATTTTACCCATACTAGGGTGGTGATAGTCAAAGCTCATCGATGTAACGAATTATTTCCTAGGTGCTACTTCAGTAACATCATGCACTCTACAGATTCTAGTATGGACATGCAGATTGAACAAATTGCAGCATGCACTGATGATAAACTATGCAAGAACCATTAATACTCATTCTTTCCAACATTTTGACGGCTAAGCTAGAATCGTAAGAGAATAATTACATCTATAGGTCTGTATTGAAATACTTTTCAGCTCCTATGTTAGTACTGTAGACTACTAGAAAAGAGTTTACATTAAATTGGAGAGGCTATTACTCCTATTAGGCTATCTGCCCGATTTCAATTGCAGCATGCATCGATGATCGACTATGCAAGAACCTTCAAGACTCATTCTATCGAGCATTTTGACTGCTAAACTACATTTGTAAGAGAATAATTACATCTATAGGTCTGTATTGAAACACTTTTCAGCTCCTATGTTAGTACTGTAGACTACTAGAAAAGAGTTTACATTAAATTGGAGAGGCTATTACTCCTATTAGGCTATCTGCCCGATTTCAATTGCAGCATGCATCGATGATCGACTATGCAAGAACCTTCAAGACTCATTCTGTCGAGCATTTTGACTGCTAAACTACATTTGTAAGAGAATAATTACATCTATCGGTCTGTATTGAAATACTTTTCAGCTCCTATGTTAGTACTGTAGACTACTAGAAAAGAGTTTACGAGGAGTCCATGAGAGAAGGCTAGCAGAGAGGCTGATTACTCCTATTAGGCTATCTGCCCGATTTCAATTGCAGCACGCATCGATGATCGACTATGCAAGAACCTTCAAGACTCATTCTGTCGAGCATTTTGACTGCTAAACTACATTTGTAAGAGAATAATTACATCTATAGGTCTGTATTGAAACACTTTTCAGCTCCTATGTAGTACTGTAGACTACTAGAAAAGAGTTTACAAGGAGTCCATGGGAGAAGGCTAGCAGAGAGGCTGATTACTCCTATTAGGCTATCTGCCTGATTTCAATTGCAGCATGCATTGATGATCGACTATGCAAGAACCTTCAAGACTCATTCTGTCGAGCATTTCGACTGCTAAACTACATTTGTAAGAGAATAATTACATCTATCGGTCTGTATTAAAACACTTATGTAGTACTCTAGACTACTAGAAAGGAGTTTACAAGGAGTTTATGGCAGCAGAAAAGCAACGGCAGCCATTCGTCGTTTGGTACTTGAGTTTGACTGGATTTCGATAGGATTGGCTATATAGTGTATGATACAGTATCTGTGAATTCAGTCTAAACTGTTATTTCAATCTGGAATGGATGGTCAACATAGTAGTGTACCATACAGGGCTGTACAGCCATAGTAAAGCATATAATTCTCAAAAAAGGAGTATATTTGACTGGAATTGCATACAAATGACTATATAGTGTCTAGTACACTAGCTAAGTAGGGATTACTTGATAGGGATTCCAATACGATTTAAAATTCTCAGTCAGTCGACTGTATTGGCACTGCACTTTCAAACTCACTAGTCTACTCGCTCGTGACCCTAGTCGAACTATCATCAGACCTCGACAGCACTAGCCAGACACCAACTGGCCACCATTGCAGTCTTGGCTGAACATCCAACACTGAAATGATTGCCTAAAATGTCTCTTCTCCAAAGGATATTCTTCAATTATCAAGGTAATAAGCGTAAGATATTAGTGGGATAGCTAACTGAGTGGATAGGGGTAAAAGGAATGGCCAACGATGGCGCCAATGGGTAATGATGAATACACTCTTGATTGCAATGTAGGCGGCCCATGTTTTCGGCCAACACTCCAATTTGGTCTGTTGCAAACTATTCGATGTGCGAGCAAAAAATCCGGTGGTAAATCCAAGAATGGACGAGGTTCTGCTGGGAAAAGATTAGGTCCAAAGAAATCCGATGGTAAGATGAAATGGATTGATTGCTGGAGACACAGCATTGAATATGTTAGGCAATCAGGCTATAATCAACAATTTTCTTGCTTACCAACGCATCGCTAGGTCAGAGTGTCATCCCTGGCAATATTATCATGAGGCAAAGAGGGACTAAATTTCATCCTGGATTAAATGTAAGCTTATTTCTTACCCCCTTCATCCTCTATGGATCACTTACTGTTATAACGAAACACTGGGTTCCAATAGAAGAGATTGCATGTCTTCTTTATCTAGTGTAGAATTAAAATCGCTTTCTATGGATCCATACGTCGAACAGATAGCATACTTTTCTAACAAAATGATACATGGTGCGCGTATGCCAGCTGCACTTTTGCTTACTAACCAATTCAATTGAATTCAAATGAATCGATAGTGTTTGTAGTTTCCCTTAAAATCAATCAGTGCAGTTGAATCAGTTACGTAATAACTATTAACCAATGACTACCTTCGTAAAAACCAACGGTACTCTTGCTTGCAATCGATACACTACAGTACTACCATCCATAACATATTACACCTCCAAAGTTGCTAAGCCGCCTGATATTACTTCATAGCGTGTTAAATGATTGGTAATAATGTTCAGTCTTCAATTCATCCTGTTAAACTATTAGTCTACTCAAATACCCAACATCACAGATAGAGTAGGCTTGGCATCACGATGTATGCCATCAACACTGTCTGTATTCAATTTCAAGTCCATAGGAATTCGAATCATGTCATGGTTAATGCTTTATTTTTCAGGTTGGAATCGGCAGAGATCATACGTTATATGCCCTGGTAGAAGGAAAGGTCTCCTATACAAGGCAAGCACTTCGTAATCCAATTCCTTACCGACCTATTAAAGTGAGAAAAACCATTCACGTTATACCCACTCCCAAAGTGCCAGAGTTTGTTTTAAATGCTTGAGGGTACTACTCGGACTATTAATGTTAATACAAGTATGTCGGAAATAGGCCAAAAAATTTCAAAATACTGTACTATTATTCTTACTAGGGATGTCTATAATATTTTTCTGCTTGAGTACAGTGATATTGTTAATGATTGATGCTGATACAGAATCGTTGTAAATTATAATCAAATTTGACGATCACCCTTTGGAATAGAATCGCGTAAAAATGGAACAAAATATGCTGTATTCGCACTTGTGATATCAAAATAAAAGCGAATGATTGCTAAAATGTAGAATGTAGACATTGAATCATGTATATTGTGTAGAGTTAGCGGGAAACGATCGCTTTTATAGGCCGCTTCCAAGATTAAATTAGGGTACTATAGAGAGGAAATGGACTTTACAATATTAGGTGGCTAACTAAAGGATGAATTATTTTAAACACCGATCTTAGCTTGGATGTAGTTCTAGGCAATTGCAATTCTAAATGCAGGTTATCCTAACAGCCGGATTCTTTAATTTGCTTTCGTATATGAACTAACAAAGTTAGCAAAGTTCGAGTTTGTGGCTAGCAGTAATTGAATTTGATTTCATAATCATCCACCCAGGCTTAACCTAGCCATCCATTAGTCTCATGTAATCTTGTCAAAATTCCTTCTATTCACTGTTGCAGTAATGAAACTGCATGAGTAATTGACCGATACTCAAAGAAATGATCGATTATGTGGATTGTATGCTAATAAAATACCATGATTTCCTTTTTAATCAAAATCAAATACCTTGAAAAATTAGGAAAAAAGGAATCAAAAAAATATCCTTAAAATCTGTACCGCATTGATATAAAAGCGCAATTAATAGGAATTAATCGAAGCCATATTTTACTAAATATACGATGTTCACTAATTATAATCAATGTTAGGCCCTGTGGTGCTAGAAAATGATGTACAGTAATAGTGAACTCATATTTACAAAATCCTTCTATTATAATAATTATTGGGATAGATGGTTATATTTACCTGTTTAGCTACAATATTATTCACTCTCCATTTTGAAAATCGAACAAATGTATTGGTAGCAGCCAGGACATATTTATGGTGCTACGTCATACAATAGTAGCCTTCATACCAGCATCACGGATTTTGATATATGCGTAAATATAACCTGAAGGTTGATATTTCTGGTGACTTCCATTACTTACAGTCTATATGAAATGTTCAAAAGTAAGACTGTATCTTATTTAGCAAGATAGGATTGCGTAACTGAAATTTTTCTGTAGCTAATTGTATATATAAACCGTAAATTTTGTTGTAATAATTCAGATAGTCGACAGATAGTCTGATTGAAGTTAGATAGCCCTTGGTAATTGTACGACGAACCTAAACTTATGTAATAAAGTGAAGTTTAAAAGAAACTGTAGTTCTTATTATATTTTTGAGAAGATGGATTAGCCATGTTATTATTAGCTAAAGATTAAAGAATAAAGCTTGATATTATTTATGAACAAAAACTGATATAGAGCAGCTATATTATTTGCAATGAAAGATTAAAATACTAAACTTGGTGCTATGCTAAGAAAAGAGATAGAGGAACATCTGCTATTTTATCGATAGCAAAAGAAATTAGAATATTAAACTTGGTGCTGTTCTAAGAAAACAAGATTGAGATACGAATATCAACTATTTCATCAATCTGTAGCCCATCAATAGCGTAGGAATAGTTTAATTACTTGTCATGTCACTATTTTACATTATTTTCAATCTAGAAATAATTTTATCAATCTTTTTACAGTTTTACTATCTGACGACATAAGTTTTGTTAACTACAAGATAGTTAATTATAGTCTTCATTACTGGATCACGAATACTAAAATTTAACAAGTGCCAGCATAAATAAAAGAGCATTGGTAAATAGGGATAGAGTTCATTCCAACAAGGATTGGAATCGAAATAAAATGTACGAGATCTATCATCGTCATCATACACAAGAAACGGTTCTATTGTTCTAATCTTGAATATAATTATTATAATTTAAAATATTTAATTTTGCCCTGATTAATTTCATTTTTCAAATTGAAAATTTAGCCATCTCACGCCTATTTGATAGTAGGAAAACGGCCAAATGTTTTTAATCCTTTCGCACAAACTCCTTAGTTATTACGTATAAATTATTCATTTTATGCCAGTCTTACTGCATTAATTTTATTTTAACAGTTTATGTAAAGGATTATAAAATGGATACGCTGGAAGAAGTGAGTTAATAAATCATGAAGCGTGAAATCCTTTTGTTACTACAGAATTAGATCATTGCAAATCACTTTATACCATTTTGCTAATGTATATTATCTTTACTATCTCTATTAAAGCTTATAAAATACATAATTAGCAGAAATGACGTCATGAAATATCAATCTTTATATCGTTCGATCGGATATCGATATTACCGTGGTTGATCGGTGATATTTCGCGATACCAATCCTTCTTAATGCAATTAAGAATCTCTTTCGTATGTTGTGATCAAATTGAATATATATAGTAGGATTGATGACAGCAATGCTTGTTGTTGCAATCATAGAAAAGAAGGCCAAAATAAATTCAATAAGATTTTTATCTCTTACTTGCAGAAATGATTTTTGAGTTATAGCCATTCCGGTGAAAGTAGCAAATAACGGCCATGTAGATACGATGTAGCTAAATGTAATGCTAAGTAACATCTGGATAAATCGACGCTTTTTCGTTTGCAGTTCATGACGCTTTTGATTGGAAGTTTCACCAGGCCGAACATAATTTTTTTGATGCTTAATGATCCGCCAATATATAACGGCTACCATAACTGTCGGGATAATATACATCAAGAAGACAACAGCAAAAAGGTAGACTGATATAGATATTGTAATCTCGGATAAATCGCAGAAAACAGGATCTCGACGATAGACAGTAATGTATTGAATGACAGGAGCATTAATCGACATCGACAATATCCACAATATAATTTCACAAGTTAAAATAATTCGCTTTTTATATAACCGATAAATACGGAAATATGGCCTAATGATGATAAAGTAGCGATCTACCGCTATAAGGCATAAGTTCATGATAGAGATTGCATACGATGTCGACATGATAAACATAACAATTTTACAAATAATGATGCCAGTGGAATAATTTATGATGCGATGTAATACCACTTGAATATTAATGGATAATGAAGCTAATATTGAAGCAATATCAGAAATGGTGGATAGCATAATTAAATGGTATGTTAATTTCTTGAAATAAGCATCAGTCATTATGACATAAATTAAAAATGAATTTATCGTTAAACCTATCGAAAATAGGATAATGGCAACAGCAGAACCATAATCGTAAAGAGCTGATATCACTGGACCAATATGTTCAGTTTGATTGAAATAATCCATCGTAATGATATATCGTGGCTCCGCTTTTGAATGGAAAATTATTTTCTACACGTCTGAATGCAGGATATGTTACCATTTACTTTTTCTTAATAGTAATAGTTTGCTTGAGTACATTTCTTAAATAGTTCTAATTAAACACATGTAACAAAATCAAACTAATAGATATTACACCGATTTATCATCAACATAATGAATTTAAAAAATCAGGGAAAACATTGACCATATAGATAATCGCATTTTATAATATCTTTATGTAAGTGTAGAAATTATTGTCTCTAATAATCCTTTCTTATACACTCCTTTCCAGAATCAATAATGGACTGTAATACTGTATATATGTTCAAACAACTATGGTAGTCTTGCAAAATAAGCTGCTAAATTAAGACTTATTACGGTTAAATTATTTGACCTGAAGGTTACTAGTTAGTACCAAATTCGTAATTGAGATTAAGAAGTTAATTTTGTAATTTCTCTTAGATTAATAATTGTAGTTAACCAAAGACTACCATAACAATTTGAATACATTGAATAATCTACTTCTATCGACTTTACGCACGTGATTTCTAGCTATAAGTCATAGGATACAATCTAAAAGTTCTTATTGATTGTATTTACTGTTTTAATGAGTAGAGAAAATAACAAAAAAATTTTTGTCATTTAAATATTTTATTATATATCGGACTATTATTTCCTTTCCATATGGATAACAACCAATCCTAGAAGGCAGAGGAGCCAAATGCTGTAAACAAATATTAAATCAATTCATATTATTGCTCCCATCTAAAGCATCCAGTCTGATAATTTCTAGACAGGAAATTACGATTACAGATTTATGGATAGCATTTATTCACTTCGACGCATTATTATTTTCTACAACAGCCAAAACTATTGCTTTTAATATGAATGGAAACTGTTTCATTGTGCGTTTGTTCTTCATGTCTTCATTTCTGAAAAGATAAGAATAATTATCCGTTCTATTGATGCTTTTAAGGGTACTGGTAATATAGAACTTGATATTGTAATTTAAAACACGAAATAAATGATTGACTCATCTAGATGCAACAATATTCTACACCCATTTATAGACAATTAGCTATTCTTATAACAACCGTAGGTATTCAATTCAATTTCTTATTTATCTGAGACCTCCTGTACATCCGTGCTTACGCGCTCTACAATGACGTAAAAATTTTATTATTACCTCCTTATTAGAGGACGATGACGTAATTATAGTATCACCTGCCGATATTTGTTTATCATCGGTTTATTAAACTGGACAAGACAGAGTTTATACGACCTTTTTGCCTACGGCTTTCTATATGACCAAAATTGCTTTAAATTATTGCGGCAAGAATATGCAAGTACGGAACAAGATAGAATAAGAAGTGCTACATTATATCCTATACGTTTCAATTGTAGCATTCATTTTTTTAATTTTCGTAATTGTTATTATGAGTGTTGCAGAATGCTAAAGTAAAGAGCAAATACCGAATACTATCTTACATAACATGAATGCGAGTATCTTACCTAGCAATCAGTTTAAAGTTTCGATTGATAGAAGCATAATTTAACTTGGCGATAACGCAAGTATAAAAGACCGTT